CAAACTATAAAAAAAAATGTATGAGTGGCTGAATCACCCCGTCTGCCTTGTAGTCACTATCAGCTGCTCTGAGCATGGTACATCTCAAGCCTCTTCTTCATAGACCGGACACTGTACACCAAGTGGTCAGAACCTAATAGTGTTGTATTCCCTACTGCCACCTTATCTTTCTGTGAATATAAGGGCACAAGTAAGGGTAGCAGATTACAAGCGATAGGCTCCCAGAAGCGCGTTTCAAGAACATGATGTTTCCTGCGCTCAATGGGAGCGAAGGTGGCATCCAGCCTGTAAGCAATATTGAAAGACTGTGACACGTAGAACACTGAAGTTAACCATAAGTTGAAGGTCATGTCATGCAGGAACTTCCTTGGGTTTCTCCTTCAAAACTGTATTAAAACAGATCCAGCAATAAACCAACATCACCCTTGCGCTGAGACACACCAATCATGCTTCAAATGGCAGAACTGGCCAGCAATCAACCCTGTCATCCTCAGAGGTTATTTACACCATCCTCAACTGCACATTTAGGTTGGCAATAGTGCTAATAGGAGGGTACATCTTCTTTCTTCATCCATTTACCCCTTAAAGACAGGGCAGATGTAATTTGCCTTGTAAAATGCTTTTGCATCTTATCTATTACTAGAGAAAAATAATTTGGCGTTACTTTTAAAAGCTATTTCTGGCTTTTTTTTTTTTCTTTTTTTTTTTTTTTTAAACACCTCCTACATTTTCTTTACATTTCTTCTCCCACCAGACCTTCGAAATACCAACCGAGAAAGCTTCATGCCTACTTTGCAATTCACCAGAATTAAACTAATAACACCTCCTGCTGTCATCTGTCATTTAGAATAAGATTTATAAGTGGCAGCAGAAACCACTTTCATAATGTTTACTGGAATATGAATAGCTTGAACAGGCGGATCTCTCAAATTTACTGTACATATCAAATGAAATCTGTCATGAAAACTAGAAACTCATTTTTTAAACTGTATTTGAAAGCTGGATGGTTTAGAAATAAAATACAGGCTGGACAATACCACGTACTTGTGTTGAGACTACATTCAGCATGAAAAGGTGCAACTGTACCACAGTAAGACTGCCTCATTTTCTGCCAATTGATTTCTTTGTACATGGCAGTTCCCAGAAATTCCTCCTATCTGTACTAATGGTTCTTGCTTCCATCTCCTGTAAGTATCTCTGAAACAGGGCACGCGCAGAGCATGTTTTTACTCTTTACAAATGGATATAAATCTTGGGTGGGGGTATTGTGAACTCAGATCCTTATTATTTATCACATCACCATGCAGTCAGTGAGCATAACTTTATTTGCTATTTGAAGCCAAAACTGGGGGGGAAAAAATAGTAAATTAGTTATGCATAAGTTGAAGAAATCCAAATGTAAAGACAAGCCATTTTCAATTAGATTACTAATTATTAATTAGCACAAGTTAGAAATAACCTTCCTGTATGTAAGCCATCACAGGTCCACTAAGCATTCCTTATGCCTGCAGCCCTCCTTGCTCTTCAAACAGTTGACATTGTAAGGAGAAACAAAAAATGATACCCTCAATAATAATTGCAACAGGTTGAGTATCAGAAAATAAACTCATCTGAGACTGTTGTATGCACCGTAGCAAGATGGTAGGAACAGCTCATGTTGGATTTTTGGGCACAATACTGCAGTTCCTAGATTTTATCTAGTTTTTAATTAAAATACTCCACAAAAAGATCTGTATCTCACGAACAGCAGCTTTTAACATGTTTGTGTTTTTTATTTTTTCCCTTACTATTCATTTTAGGAAACATTGGTAATATTTCGGAATATATGAATATAATTGTACCGATCCTTTTGGAAGAAGATAAGCAGGTACTTTTGTACAAAAATAATCTGCTACAGTTTCAGGCTGTGTTCCTTCTTTCTCAAAAATAAAACCTACATTGATATGCTCCAGGCTAATCACTGCCATTCATTAATCTGCATTAGATAAAATTTTGCAGACTGAAAGGTGACTTTGAGGAAGAAACGCATCCTTCTTGCACTAACATTATTTTTCCTTCAAAAACTGAGCAGAAAGTATATTAAAATGAACAGTTCAAACAGCAAAAGACATCCTTGAGGTCACATTTCAGTGGTAAAGAATGCTCGGTGCCATTAATATTTAGTCTACCTTAATGGAAGAAATTTGAGTTAGAAGATACTTTAGGTTATCTTGTCCACCCTTCTGTCAAGGCAGACTTGCTTGCTCCAGCACGTCATTGATTGCTGTGCCAAGTCCATTTTGAACTTGTCAGTTAATAGTGAGTTCCCAACTCCAAGATCTTAAACATTGGCAAAATCAAGTCTTCCAAGCACAAGTACATTTATCTCGCCTCAACATCTTCATCTTATGACCATTTCTTCCAGTTTGCCATACTCTTCTTTTCTGAATAAACTCAGTTAAAAGAAAAATAATAATAACAGACCGTTATGATGGTGAGCTGCAAGGTATTTACCAGCCCCTCAGCTTCCTGGTTCAGCTCCTACAGCTTGGTTGAGAGGGTATCAACATCAACAGCTGACAGAAGTCCTCTGTACTGCGGTGCAGGAAAGGGCCACTCTCTAGATGAGATTCCAGCATTAGACAGTGGAGTGTTTGAACTGGCAGAATCTACTGGGGGTTATGAGCTGTGTGTGGTGCAAGTGGGGGCAATTTGGCTATGCCATTATCTCTATGCAACACATCATAAGAAACCAAGACCCGCATCTGAACCCATGCTAAAGCGACACTGTCTGCTGTGTGCTTGAAATTCCCAGGCACAATGTCTGCTTAATATGCAGTACTGAGTCACTGCATGCATGCATACAGAGTGCAGCCACACCGCCAACACAATTACCTTCCCCTTGTGCCGTTCTAATGCCCGCATCATAGGCAGCACTCTTTTTTGAATGAATCGAAGTAGTAGCCCTGCATTCAGCACCAAGACAGCAGTACCGATTGAGAAAACCTGCACGTGCCTGTAGGAACACAGGATCCTTGTTTTCTTCAAACCACCCCACCTGGGTGGGCGATCGTAATAAACAGAACAGTGACAAACGGAACAACCCAACAACGCTCTTCCAGACCAGAAATTTTACATTTAAGTGCATGAATTTTTCCCTGACTGAATTCAGTGACCACTTTTTCCACTGACACTAGGAGAGTTTCCATTCATTATGCCATAAGTATTGCAGTTCTAGTACATTGGAAGCCATTCCTGCCAACAAAGTCCACAGTTTAAAGACAGACGAATTTACTTCTGTTAAGAATTCCTTATTTGTGGTGTTCGGAACAAATCCTTGATAAGGTCCAACGTAAGGAAAGGGAAATAAATCACACCGGCCATAGGCAGAGCTCCCACCCCATGACATACTGTGCCACGACTCGAGGGCTGCTGGGTTTACCGAATCAACATCTTATCCATCTAAAAACACCATTCGGACCTCAACTCCTCAGGACTCTCGGGCATTAAGGATGCAGCACTTTTGGACGTGGTGGGGCTTTCTACAGACACACCGCAGCCTCCTCCGCAGGCTGTCAGTGGCGAACGATGCCAGGAGAGCTCGGCCGGGACCCGCTGCCGGCAGGGACGTGCCCTGCATGTCCCCAGGCTCGTCCCCCCCCACCGGAGCTACGATGCACACCCGTGCCGGGAACGCACCCTGAGGGAGCTGGGTAGCGAGGCACAGCGCACCGCCAGCAGTCTGCCAGACCGCGAGATGGAAAGCCCATCGCGTGCATTTACACAGCTACACGGAACAGATATTACCAATGCCACACGGAACAGATATTTCCTGTGTTAAGAAAAACGCAAGGGAAGAAAAAGGAAAAAAAAAAAAGCCTCCGAAGACTTGCTGCTGCTCATCATCCTTCCCTTCTCTTTCCATTCATTTATAAAAATGAAAGGGGAAAATGCCCGTCCAACGACTGCGGATCGCGGCGGCCCCGCTCGGTACCACCCGCCACCCGGGGGCTGAGCGCCGCGGCCCGCTCCCGCCCGCCGCTGCCCAGCGCCCCAACGCGGCACTCGGAGGAGCGCTCCTCCCGGACCCGCGGCCGCTCCGCCACCGCCGCTCCGGGCCTCACGTGGTGCCCATCCAAAGGTTACTCGCACGGCGCGGGGCGCTCCGGCCGCGGCGCGCTCTCACCGTCCGCGATGCTCCGCGCCGCGTTCCATCTCCGCCTCCCTCCAGGGGTGCGGCAGCGCGGGGCTCGCACGGCCGCTCCCCCCGGCCGCCACCTTAATCCGCGCGAGGCCGTACGGGGCAGCTCCCGCTCGGCCCCGCATCCGCTGCCCTCAAGGTCACGCCGCACCGCGCGCTCCGGTTACCTCCCACCGGAGAGCAGCGGGAGGCACGCGGCGCCCCGGCTTCGCGGCCCCCGCCCCGCCGAGCCCCTGCACCTGCCGGCGCGCCACTGCGGAGAGAGCGGCGGAGCAGATCCGTGCCGAACGGAGCCGATCCGAGGCGCCTCAGCAACCACCGCCCGCCGCGCTTACCTCGGGGCCGCCCCCGCCGCCGGTCGGGACGAGGCGCCCGCGAAGCTGCCCCTGCCCCTGCCGCCGCCCGCCGAGCGCGAGGTCCCCGCGCCGCGCCGCCCCCGCCCTGCGGCCGCGGGAGGGAGGGAGCGGGGAGGGAAAGGGGCGGGGGCGCGGGACCGAATTGGGGAGGGCGGGAGGGGCGGGAAGGGGGCACCGGCGCGGAGGGAGGAGGAGGGGGGGGGGGGGAAGTGAGAAGGAGGCGGAGGAAGGGGAGGCTCGGGCAGCTCCGCCGGCCACGACCAAACTCACCCTCCGGCGGCGCTCCGGGGCCGCCGCCCGCTTCGTGCCGCACGCACCGGGCAGCGCCGAGCGCGCCGCGGAGCCCGAGCCCCGCACGGCGACCGCTACAGGAGCCGGGCGGGGCGGAGCGGAGCCGGGCGGGGCGGGGCCGGGCCGAGCGCGCCTCCCGCCCACTCGCCTCCCGCCCGCCCGCGGCTGCTCACCCTCCGCTGCCGGTGCCCGCCTCGCCCCTCGCCGCCCGGCCGTCAGTCACGTGGCGGTGCCCCTCGCGCGGTCGCCCGAGGGGGGTCTCGATGTGCGGCGCCCTCGGGGGGCGGGAAGGGACGCGCCGCGATAGGCACGGAGCCGGAGGGGGCGGAGTCCCGCGCCTCGGCCCGCCCTCACGCCGCCCTGACTGGCGGATGGCAGGTGACGCGCTTGTTTCCATGACGTTGCAGGGCGGGGCCTCGGCGTTTGATGGAGCCCGGCGGGTTCCGGGGGACGGTGACTTTGCCACGAGCGGCTCCTGCGGGGCGGGTCTGGGCCCGGGGACTGCCCGGGGGGCGGGGATTCCGCGGCGGCCCGCAGGGGCGGGGTGGGCCGGTCCGCCCGACCGCGGTGCGGCGGGTGACCCGGTGAGCGGGCGACCTGACCGCGCGGGGCCGCTCAGCCGGCCCGCCTCTGCCGCAGGGGGCGCGGGAAGCGCGGGAAGCCCGGCTCCCTGGGCGGCGGGGGGCACCGCGGCGCGGCTTTGTCCAGAGTGGAGCGCGGCCGCGCGCGATGCAGGTGGGGCTCCCGGCCGCCCCGCTGCTCGGCTTTCGCTGCTGTCGGAGCCGGGGCTATGGCAGCCGAGGAGCAGAGCAGCCCACCGAATCGCTGCTGCTGCTGCTGCTGCAGCCCGAGGTATTGCGGAGACCACAGAGGGTTAAACCACAGAATGAAGTCAGCACGAAACGGCCCACAAGGGCCGGCAGATAAATAACTCATCCTCGCTAGGCTGTGATCGTGGCTTGCGGAGCGTCATTGTCTCCTCTCTTACCTGCATCCTCGTTACATTTTCCTCCTGTTCCAGTGAGGCAATCGAGAGGCAGAGAGCGGCAATTCGCTCCTGCCCGTCGTGGATGTTTCTAAAAATACTGCCTTACCTCTACGTAGCTAGAGGTCAATTGAAAAATCACAATACTGAGGTAAACAATCCTGCAGACTGCTCTGTTGAGATTCTTTCTTGCGTTTCTTCCCGGAAGGAGAACACAACGATCCGAACGCAGAGACCCGCGCTCCACGACGCGCTGCCGCAGCGCAGCACCGTCCTCAGCAAGGAGCGATCCGCGGGACTCCCGCGGGCAGCCGGGCGGCGCTTCTCGGCGCAGCTCTGACAGACGCAGATGCGCTCCGCACAGCTCTGTCGCTACGTTCGGGCACAGAATTAGCCTTGGTACCGCCAAGGAGGAGGTGATGTGTTTAACGCATTGCAGTTTGGGTACGTGTCTGTACCTGCTTCCTTTTGTCTGTGGGGAAGGTAGGCAGCCTGCGCTTCATTCCTCGTCTATCGAATGGGAAAAACTCCCATCTGCTGTCTTTAGGGAAGGAAGGGATAAGTATATGCATTAATCTTTGAGATGCTATTACAGTAGAATTCTCTGCATACATTTTTCATGGCACAAAATAATTATTTAATGTTCCTCTTGCGCTGATTTATGAGGACAGCATAAAAATATGCAACACATTGATTGAAAGTTAAAAGAGATTCTTTCCCACCCTGTAGAACCTTTTCCGTGGGAATTTCAATTTTTAATTTATTTATTTATTTATTTTTCAAATGAATGCACAAGCTACAACTTTATGGTTTTTGGGAGCAAATGGGCACTCCTCCTTTCTTCTAAAGGTCAGGGCCTGTAACCAAGTAGCAGAAAACATTCTGTGTAATTTAGGTCACCCATCTTATAAAAGAAGCAAAAAACCCGAGGTACACAAAGGAATATTTCTGGAAATATTTCATGTAACTTTTGAGGAAACATTGCCATTTCAGGAAAATTCAGTTTGGTTTGCAGACGGTTTGGAAAGGCCAGCTTGACACATCAATGACAATAGCTCCGCTTGTTCTGTGACCAGCCCTCCAATGATATCACACACTTTTTTACAGAGGCAGAAAATGTGTCATGGAGAATTTAAGTGGGTTGCCTGAATCCGATCTACTTAGCATGAAGCTTTTACCAAAAAGAGCATGCTTGGATCATTATGGCCCTTGGTAAAAATTGAGTGAGGCAACCAGAGTCTAAATGCATGCACCTTGCTGATAGCTGCCTCGTAACCGTGGTTTTGGGCAAAGAGGCAGGACAGGCTTGACCCAAAAGAGGAGATGGTTGCAAAACACACAGACCTCTCCTACTCTGTGTAGGAGTGCTTCAGCGCTTCTATACTGAATTGGGTTTTGAAACGTATCTCCTCACTGCTCTGCTACAGCTGATCCTCTTCAAACTGAGCCAATGCAAGAATGAGTGAAATCGGTGATTAAAAAAAAAAAAAAAAAATTAACTTTTTTCATCTTTTACTTGTTTGATGAAAAAAACACAGAGCTTGGAGAAGTTAGGAGATGTTTCATGTGCAAGCATGAAGAAACCAATGTTTAAAGAATTCTCCAGGTCTACAGAGCCCAAGCACCAGCAGGGTTTATCGCAGTCAGCCTTCGCAGACCACCCCAGACCGGGGCTGCCTCGGGGCCCTCGGGGCCATGGAGGCCGCTTCTCATCATCCTCCCGGCACTCCGCATCCCAATCCTGTTGCTGCGAGGTTAAGCAACAATTTGATTACAAGCGATTCTCCTTTCTTTCATCTTGTGAGTGTCACCATGGCCAAATTGCTCTATTGTCAGCTCATACAGCCTAGCAATCACCGTGTGAAACAAAACGAAATCACCCCATTCATCCCCACGTAGCAATTGCCCCTCCCTTAAGAATGAGGCCAATCTATGAGGCCTATCTATGTGCTCCCGGTAGCATTCTTATCAGCTCCGAATTCTTCCTCTTGACTATTCAGGAACTCGGTATCCTGCATCACGCTTTTCCTGTTGTTTCCTGCCGTGAATGCATCTGTTAAGTAGAAGTACTTAAAGCTTTGTGCTCTTCTCCATTTCTGTCACAGCGTTCTGGATTTATTTATTTTTCTTTTACGTTCTTCTACTGCCTTATTTAAAGGGCGAAAGATTACACTGAAGTAAACAAAGGAGTGTGAAAAAGAAGAGCTATTGCACGAATGTCTTCTTCATGTATGCTCTGAAATATATCAGACTTTGTGCTTTGTACAGTTACATGTTCTTTCCAGGTGCTGCCACAACAGCCCCAGACCAGAGAAAACACTTCACAGACAAAGGTGAAACAGCTACATGCAAAGAAAAAAAAGCCATGAAGTATAAAATCCTACAATTGACAGGAAATCTGACCCACTGAAGGACCTGGGTAAGGCATGGAAGAGAAGAAAAGAATAGAGCAGGGTGAAAAACCATATAACTGCTATGAAGACAATAAAATAAGATGTTTGAGAAGCTTTTCACAATATAGAATTAAAAAAAAAAAAAAAAGAAAAGAAAAGGTATGGATGTGATGAGACAATATGATCATGGTTGCCTCTTAGAAAGTGAGAAATGTCCAATGAATCTGCACTATTACTCTGCAAATTATCTGCTAGCAGAGCTCAAAAACGCATACAGTGAGCACCCAGCTACTCTACTGAAAGGGCATTTCCTATGTAGCACTTCCCCAGTTTGAAGCAATCCTCTTTACTTTCTCCCCCATGGCAAAATCCCTTGAATTCCTAAAAGATGGAAAAAGACCCAGGCAAGCTGGCCCTGGAAACATTTTGGTCCAGTTGAAGAGAAGTACTGGAACAGGCTGCCCAGGGAGGTTGTGGAGTCTCCTTCTCTGAAGACCTGCCTGGATGCCTACCTGTGCGACCTGCTGTAGGGAACCTGCTTTGGCAGGGGGGTTGGACTCGATGATCTTTGGAAGTCCCTTCCAACCCCTACAATTCTGTGATTCTGTGATTGTGATTCTGTGATTTGTTAAAAAAATCACACTGCTGTAGCTCATCTGGGCCTGCTATTGGTCTGTCCCAATATGGATGCAGATTTGTCAGGCATCTCACATGGCAGGCACCAAAGACTCAAAATGTGGAAGTATCCATTATAGCTAGGAAGGTGCATGAGACCTTTTGAAGGGCTTATAGTATATATAATACCACAACAAAATGATCTTTTTTCGTCTTTTTTCTTTTTTTTTCTTTTCTTTTTTTTTTTCTTGTTGCAGATGTTTTACGGTGTGTTGCTTTGTAAGCTGTGTTCTTATCTTTAAGAGCACATGGTCAGCCGATGTTTGTGAGGCTCCATTGAGTTCACTCATTTTGTGGGTCTGTTCCAATTCATGCTGACTGAATATCTGGTTCATAAATCGCAATGTTGTTATACGCTGCTCTGTGATCAAATGACAAGTATTTTGTTTATTTTTCTTTCCCTCTACCCCCAAAGATAAGAAGCAACACGGTTAACCAAGCTGTCTCTCTCTGAGGCTAACAACAACATCTCTGACCAGCCTGAGTCACACTCCTGACTCACAGAAATTAGTTTTAGGAAGAGTAAATATAGCCCCTCCTCTCTCTCATCAGTGCTGGGTAACTGTCTCTAGTAGAACAAAAAATTGTCCTTTTGTAATGCTACTTCAAAGTCCTTTGGATAAGACAACAGATAATTCGGTTAAGCCTTGTGTTCCTTCAGCAAACATTCTTATTTCTGCCTCTTGGCAATTGTTCAAGATGGTTTTGAAACATTTAAGAGTCATTAGAGCTAATAGCTACCACTCTGAATTTCCTTCAAGGAGGAGTATCAGAAAAATGCACCACCTTATTACCACTACTTTAATCAAGAATTAATCACTCTAGTGAGAAACGATGACCGGAACATACTTGAATCAATTATTTGCTTTCTTTGTTGACATTTTCAGCTCTGAATCATCTTACCTGTTCTTAAGATACTAATAAAAATCTCCAACCAACCTAAAACTGCATTTTTAAAATATTAATAAGGACTTATCCTACATTCATAGTTTAAAAGTGGATTTAGCCTTATAAGACTTGTTCAAGAATAATTGTGTTTTCAGATTATGTAGTATTATAAATTATATTAAAAGTGTTACATAAAATGTTTGCATGAGTGTATATGTAAGTCTAAGTATCCTCAGAAAATTAGATTATAGGTAATAAAAATAGTAAAGTCTTAACTAGGGCATCGTCTTTAATTATCAGATAATACTGCAGCTATGAATGCAAAGTGGAGTGGGAACAAAATTTC